AAAACAAGTGCGGTTTTGAATTCAGTATCTCTGTCAGCGGCTTTTGTTTCACCTTTGAGAACACAGAAAAAAAAGTTGGCCAAGTGCCGGATTCATAGCGAAAACCGTATCAAAATTCCAAATCACGTCTGACAAGTTTCAGCCATTCACAGTGGACGTACAACGTCGTGGCTAAGTGATTTACGCGCACGGAAACTGCGCACCGAGAGACTCTGCCACTGCTTGCTTCTCAATAGCCGCCAAGCCCGAAAAAGAAGCACTGGCCCCGGAACTGGACAGGCACGCGTCCCCAGAAGGAGCCCATCCCGACGGGCAGCCGGCGTAGTTGCGCGCACAGGTAACAGCCGAAAGACTCACACCTTCCGCAACAGCTGCTGCTTGCAGAGCATCTGACAGCGTAGCTTTGATCATCATGGCAGACTCACTTGGATGCGTTGCTTTCAACGAAGCCTCCAGCCCTGGAATAGTTTATTGGGAAAAATTGCTTTTGTGCCAAGTTGTACTCAGAAAGCAGGTGATGTAAAAATCAAAAAATCTGAACTCTACTAGACCTGGAATCTATGACATTTGTATTCTGTACCTGCCAATGCGGGCGAGCGCAAGAACGACGCCCGGTCTGCGATGACATTCACAACGGGAACGTCGCCCTTGTTCACATCCGTGAAAATTTCTTTGGGCAAGTCGAATGGCACAGTTGCCAGGCAAGACGCAACCCCGAACGCAAGCGCCCCGAGAAAGGATTTCATACTGAAGCGATTTTTGGAGAAAAAAGAAGCTAGAAGGGAAAGAGTACAGAGAATAAGTGTTGTTTTTGAAGCTACCGCCGAAATGGTGTCCATTGGTGCCATTTTTGCAACGTTATAGCTCCGCTCGCTTTTGGTCATCCCTCACGAATGCACTATAGAGACAAGGAAACCGCCCGAACACGAAGGCGAACATTGCTTCAAGAGCCATCAACAAAACATTGCTTCCAGAGCCATCATTCAGCATCCTTGATTGCCAGAACTTAGTGAACAAGTAAATTATTTCCACAATCCATCACAATGGTAATTGAGGAGGTGACCCTCTTAGTGATACAAAGAACCCGCAAGAGTGTCAGCCGCCATTGCTCCAGCCTTCAACTGCGCGATTTCCTCCTCAGCTCCGTAAACACGGCTTGGCGAAGGCAAGACGATGTTGGTGTGGCCGTAGGCACCAGTAGCAGAGTCGCTGGATTGGAAAGAAACCGGCATGTTGGTTAAGAATGTAATGAGCGAACCCGCCATGTCCCGTGTGGCGTCCGGGGTGCTTTCCTTCTGTGCAAGATTCTTCACCTTAAACAGGAGGGGCTGCATAGCGACGCGCGCGTTGGGAAGGGATGCAAGGTCCAACAATCCAGCGACACCATGCTGAGCGGAATAACCACCAGCGTCGACGAGGGAGCCGTAGTAGCTGATCGCATCCTTGAACACAGATCCATCCGCGCCCTCCCGCTGAAGGTCGGACAGAGGGGTCTTCAGGAACGACTTGTGCGCCATGCGCTCCAACATTTCCACCTCTCCTTGTTCCACACCACTGAGAGCAGCCGCAGCCGCAGCACGGTCACCCGCGAGAGACGCAGAAGCGGTCTCCCCAACGTGTAAGTTCAGCACGGGGCGCTGCAGAAAGCTGTATTTCTTGGACGCCGCGCCCATCACTGCCTCAACGCCAGCGTTGCGCAGCACGGGCTGAGCCAGCGCAGGCGCAACTTTCTGTGCGAAGCCCGCAGAGTCTGCACTGATTCCGGCAGAGAGTGCTTCTCCCAACTGCTCCCCCAGGGCAAAGGACGGACGAGCAGCCTCTGCAACTGCAGCGAACGTGCAAGCCACGAACAAACGGCTCATTTTCTGCTCTTCAGTGAATTCTCAGTGAAAAAATTACAAGGGCTAGACATGCAGAGAAAATTGGAAGAGTTTGAGGTTGTTTAGGATGGAGTTCAAAAATTATCCCTCACGAACGATGCTGTGCGAGTGTAATTCCCTCTTGCAATCATCACGCTCACACTATGGAATCCGGAACACCCTTCAGTTGCGCGTGCCGTAGGTTGCTGCTCAGCCGTGTTGTATCAATAGGTATAACTCAGGAGCACAAGATTCAATGATTTAAAGCACTGCAGCAATTGATAGCCTGCGAGTGTTACAGTTAGGGCGGGCTCGCAACCAGCGGACTACCCACGACCTTGCAGGTGCTGGTGACCTTCTTGGTGGCTTCCCAGATCTGATCATTGATAGACCAAATCTTGCCCATCACGTTGTATACCGGCGGGCACCACGGCGCGAAGCGCAAAACGCAGACAGAGGCGGTAAAGACGTCGAGGCACGCGCACAGGATTTTGGTGGCGACCGCTAGCACGTGAATGGGCAGGTTGACCGCTTGGTAGATTGCAAGCGTCGCGACACGGCCGAAGTTGCATCTGTTTCCCAACACCTCCACGAGCTTGCACGATTTTTCATCAAAGCAGGGGGTATCCAACATGGGCATGGCAGCAGAAAGAGTGCTACGCTCCTTGATGAAACTGCTGTGAGTCTTCTGAAACTCAGCGAGAGCCGTCGTCGGGTCTTCATGCTGGACTGCGGCCTGAAATTCTTGCATTTTGCTGAAGGTGTCATGCATGTTGTCCTGGATGGCGGAGAGGAACGTCTTTCCTTCTTTTTGAGCCTTGCTCAGCAGCCCATCCCAGTACTGGACGCAACTGTCGCCGCAGTCTTTCTGCAAATACTCCCGGACCTCATTCAGCTTGTCAAGCGGTACTTCAGACTGCTTCTGGGCCGGAAGGGACAGTAAGCGTTGTCCTGCCGTGGCGCGCTGGGACATGGAGAGGGCATTAGCACCCGCGACGAGGGTGAGTGGGAGAATCACCTTCATTGTCAAAAGAAAGTTGGTATAAAAAAAGAGCTAGATGACCACTTGAAAGGTACAGGACAGGAACTTAGCTTGCAGCTCAAGCGATGGCACTATAGCGTGAACACACATCATGGTTTGCATTTGCATTGATCCACGAGCGTCCCTCCAGCATGTTTTTGCTCTCTCAAGTGTGCACGGCATGTACGATATCAGTCTTGGTAACTACGCGAACACATAAAGCCACAGCAGCTGGACCAGTGGAGGAGGAGGCTGTATGACATTGCACATATGACCGCGACGTTACCAGCACGATATTGGTGTCTTAAGCGGTAGCCTCATGAGCGGTTTTAGTGGCGCAGGCTGGCCATTCCTGAAGAGAAGGCCTGCATGTCATAAGCGGCTTGGGAAGCATCCGCGACAGACGAGGCTGCGGCAGAAACTTCTGGGCGCTTCTCAATGATATTCACTTTGGCCGGGGAGTCAGTCCTCATGGGCTGGGTCAGAAACAAGGCCTCCTTCACCATACCGGGCGAGCCCGCCCATGCTGCAGCGCCTGTCTTCAAAAACGAAGATTTGCCGACGAAGCCGGACACTTGTGAATGCATGAAGGAATCAATGCGGGCTTCCAGTGACGCAATGTCTTTAGCGCTTGACGTAAGGTGAGATGCGCCAGCAACCTGAATGGACTCACCCGCACAGCAGGCGACAAAACCAGCAAAGGTGACGAAGATGGTTCTCAACATTCTTGTTGAAGTGGCCTAGCTGTTATAAAAAAATATCAACAGTCACACACTGCTCTGGTAGCTGAGGCATAATGGTCGGCATCTCCAAAATTCTTGGCGTTTGTTGTTGAGATCAGTCTCCCTCCAAGCGCCTGACATTTATTTGGTCGCGACTCTCTTGAAAAACGATGAGAAACGTAGAACAACACGCGGGCGCAGATAGTCAGCGTTGAGCGCAAAAGGAGCAAGGTGCACAGACACAGCACACGCCTGGACATGTGAGGGTTCATTCTAAGCGTTCACTTTCATCTTTGTTTGAAGATAGTTGGGGCGAATTCTTGCGCTGACCATGCCTTTTAGTACTTCACGTCGCAGAAGATTTGCGTCTCCTGCTTTTCAGCGACGCTGAGATTGGACGGCAAACCTTTGGTGCAAAAGCCGGTGTAGCCCGTCGCTGGGTTGCAGGTTCCCGCAGCTTCTAACCATCCAGCAGGGCAGGCCGCAGTCGGTCCGCTGAAACCAGACTGCTTGGCAGCCGCAACTGAGACCTGCTCAGCGATTGTGGACAAGTCACTGCTAGACAAGCCAGTCAGCTTCAAAAAGCTCGCAGCGCCAGTGGAGTAAGGCAGACTAAACTTTCCAACGGTAGTAGGCGACGATCCCATGGCCGCCCTGACGGCAGCGGTAAATTGCTTTTCCCCAGCCGAAGATGGAGCAGCAGCAGCGAAGCCTTCAGCGCCTGCGAGCAAGTCCGATGTGATGCCTCCTAATTTTGAGTCCGACGGCATTGTGGCCGCAGTCAATCCGGTGGCACCTCCGCCGGAGAGCGAACTAATGAGCCCCGACGCCGCGGAAGCGCTATCTTTCACCCTGAGAGCGGAGACCGCTCCAAAAAAACAGAATACCAGACGCATGTTGTGAAGCGAAACAGTCTAAAGAGCCGTGGATGAAGAAAGAGAAAGTCGTCACAAAGGTGCGCATGCTGCAGATTTGGCCATCACTCACTTCTCCCTCAGCGAGGTGGTACACGAAGGCATTGGTTTCTTTGATCTGGTCGACAGTTCATTGAGAGCCGTAGAACACTGCGTATAACTGTACCACATCTTAACAAAGTGTCCAAGGGAACGATAGCGCGATCAAGAAAATTTTTCACTCAGAGCCAATACATTTTGCCTAGTCCAACAAGTTGACGACTTGTTCAGCGCAACTGGGATTGCAAACCAGAAATTGCCTGCATCTCACCCTTGACCGCCGCAATATCTGCACCGGAAACGAAGGTCGGAGTTTCAATGTCCACGTTCAACACAGGAGCAGAGCGCGGAACTTCATCTCCGCTCAGGAAGGAACTGTGGGACATTTCAGCCTCCAAGCTGGCGAGGCGTTTGGCCGCGTACGCGAACCCGTCAGCGGTCAAGCGTGCCATGTCAACCTTCTTGCCCTTGCCCGTGGAGTCAACCATTACATGCACGGTCGGCTCCCGCGAAGGAGATGCTTTCAGAAACGAGGCGCCCAAGGCCGCGGAGCGGATCCCTTGGAACGACTTCTCAATGCTCTGCTCAAGCGACGCTTTAATGGCTTGGTACTCACTTTCCAGGACAGACGCAGGGGCACCTGCCTCAAAGTACACGTCGGTTTTTCCCTTCTGGAGGAACGAAACACCCGACGCCGCCTTCAGCGCGGCCAATTCTTGCGTGAAACCGGCACGAGGAACATCATAGTGGATGTCAATGACAGACGGAAGTGAAGCCTGCATGGTGGATTGAATAGCAACCGGCGGAACGAAGGGCTCCAAAAAACTTGACTTGCCCCGCACAATGTGTCCGATTTTGGCGATCTCTGCAGAAAGCATGGCCTGCTTGAGGGACGCATCTGCGGACGCCTCAGCAGACGCCTTACTGGACTCAGTTTTGAAAATGGAGGACACTGCCGCGTCAATGGTTGCCTTGTCTTCAGCCGGCGCGTGCAGGACAAACTCATGATCAGCAGTCGGCGCGAGCGACGAATAGCCCTGAAGAAAGGAGTGATGCGCCCCTACAATGGTGTGCACTTTGGCAATTTCAGCGTTCAACAGACGCTGCTTGTCTGCCAATCCGGCCGCTTCAAGCCCCTTTTCATGGGCTTTCTCCACCGCCATGAGGGCATCAATGTCAGCATTGGCTTCAGCAGAAGGCATGGACGGGGGCATCAAGTTCAAGGTGTAGGGAGTCGCATCCGCGACTTTGCCGGCGATTCCCGACGCCACGCCCGGCGGGACCATCTCCAGCGGGTCGGGGAACATGCGCGATCCATGAGCGCAGAGCGAGGTCGCTGCGATGACGCGAAGCATGTTTTTTCTCCTCTCAGAAAAAAAGAAGAGCGCAACTAGAAGCTTGGCAAAGTGCACACAGATGCTCATGTGTTATGCTGGGCATTGCAGGTTTGGTCATGTTCTTTGGAAACTAACTCACTGGCACGTCGAAGATGATTCTGGGTCGGTCTTCAAGTACAAACACTGACTCCTCCCTGTTTTGCCAGCTCTCACAACAAGGAACTCCGGCTGCGATCAGAACAAAAGGCATTGCACAGTTTAGAACCTTTGTCCTATCAGATGAGAATCAGAATGAGGCGAGTATTAGTAATTGTTATTCTTCTTCTACTATTTCAATGAAATGACTTTGCACAATTCATCATTAAACTAACACCCTCCAGCACAGGCAGAAGCGACGGACGCGTAGGTCGGGTGCGGGCGCGGGGCATGTTCCATGCCGAGCATCATCTCCCGGAAAGCAGAAAGACCAGTGGTATCAGGCTGGGGCGGAACTGGAAGGCTTCCCATTGCCCCGAGGATAGCATCACCTTTGCGCAGAAAACTGGACGGGGTCAGCGCTGCCAAAAGAGCCTGGATTGTGATGATAGTCATTGAATACTTCAGCCATTCAGTATTTGAGGACATGGCACGGAATGCAGTTTTTCAAGCAAATATCTAAAAAACAACGCCGCTGTTCACCTTGTCAGAGCGCAATTCTTGGGCCGCAGCAGCGATGCGATTGTCCAAAGCCAAACCGGTTTCCATGGAAGACATAGCAGAGGCAGCATCAAACGCCGGGAAGTGGTAGCGCACATTCACCTCTGGCAGACTGTGTGCGACTTCACCAGTAAACTCTGGCTTCTCCGCAGGGAGCCCATAATTGCCCGGCGCGGTCGGTGAGTTGAACGCCGTGAATGCAGCAACTGCACTCACGCACGATGTGAAGATAGCGAACCGCATTTGAAGAATAAGAGGAAAAAAAGGCACCACAAGCTAAAAAAGTTTTTGGGTTAGCACTTGTGAGCAACAGGTTGACTTTTCATCATTTTGGTGCCGCATTTGCGTCGCTCTCAAAGGATGTCAGGCTGCATACGAATTTGTTGTCTCTTACAACCTCTCTCACACAGCGAATTCTCTCAGTGTGAAAATTTTGAGAACCAAAATCAGCGAATTCTCTCACACAGCGAATACAAGTTTGAGAAGCTAAGGCAGTCCTTTACCTGGGATGGGCACGGGTAAGGCCAAAACAAGCACGAACACTGCAGCTACTACGAGTATTGCGCGGCCAGTAGCGGCGGTGGCGGCTGGTGCCGACCAGCGTCCAGATGTCCGTGTAGTTTTATGCACGGCTTTTAAGATGGGGAGCCGAGCGCGTGTTCACAGCGAACTAAAAACGGGGCGCATGCAGCCTAGGGCACG